CGGCGAGTGCTAGGCCCCGGTCCGGCCCTGCGCGCTCAGGGTGCAGCGCCCCTGGAGCTCGGTTGCTCCCCAGAGGTCGTGGGCGCGCGCGCGCCGGCGGGAACCGTAGCCGCAAGAGGCATAGCTGCCTCCTGGTGCCTTCCGGGCGCCCCCGCGCCTCTCCGCCCGGTCCCGGAGCGCGCTGGCGGCTGCGCGGCCAACTCGGCGTGGATCAGCACCGGGGGTGCGAACAGTGGCCACGTAGGGCGGGGCGGGGCGGGGCTCAACAAGGCCCGGCGGGCCCGCCCTTCCTCCTTCCCAGGGTCCGCAGGCGCCCCTCGGCGGCGGGCTCCTCCCAGGAAGGAGAAAAGCCCCGGGCGAGCCGAGTGAGGGGGGCTGCGGGCCTGTTGAGTCCTGGGAATGTGCCCTGAGAGTCCAATCAGGCACGAGGCCAGCTCTGGGCTGGAGTTTTGTCTCGCTAACCCGGCTTTGTTAACTACGCAGCCCTGCTGAGTGCGTCAGCTCACAGGGACCCAGGCACTTGAAGGGCTCTCATAGAATCTTGTGACCTCAGGGACACACCGGGGCGGGGGGAGGGCATGCTCGACGCAGGAACTGAGAGGCGCTGTCACCCTCACCCGCTGTACCGCCAACACCTCGTTTCCACTTTCTGTTCTCAAGATGTACTTGGACAGCACAAGGGGAGGGGAGCAGTGCTGAAGGACGTTTGTTTAAACATATGACAACCAGTGCTCACATCCACTCACATTTCCACAAACAACTAGAAATCTGAACCCTGAACCCAGCTATTTTGGGGACCCGCCAGGTATTACCACAGTCTGTGTATTGAAGAGGCCTTCCGATTATTAGATGGTGAAAAGCTAGGGGGCTTGTCAGTTTTAAATAGATAAAGTACTGGAAATACCCAACCTAGTGGAGGCCACCAACAAAGGGCAGAGAACACATGATTGGGTAGGAAAATGGTAGCTTTTCCTACAGTGGTCCCCACTCCACTTTTTCCTCCAGAGCTGGTATTTAGGAGCTCAGGACTTGCAAGCCCAGGACACAGAGTAGTAGTGAGATTAGAAGGTAAAAGCAGAAAAGAAAGAAGGAAAAGAAACAGCCCAATGTTTCTTGTCATTCCATGGAAAGAAAGAATTAGAAACGTGTAAGAGTGCAGATTTAAGGATAAAATTTAAGGATTTCTCTTTGAGGATAAAAGAAATGGCCTCTTATCCCAAAAGACTATGACTCGATTGTACCACTGTGGGCGGGAGAGTCTTCCCCCTATGACATTGTTAGCCCCACATGACTGTAATTGCTTTAGGATGCTCTTGAAGGGCTGTAAGGATTCTTTTCTGCCATAAGTCTCAGAGGACTTGGCAGGGTTTTCATGAGAAACTTTGATTTGTAATGAAAATAACCACTGAAGGTATCATCAAATTTTCTAAAGATTAGTTATTATAATTACTATTAATATTAACCAGCCACTCCTCGGAAGGAAGGTTGGGCAATCCTACTTCCGTAGTGATACTGCCTCAGAAACCCAAGGAGGGGTCGCTATGAGTCGGGGCCGACTCGACGGCACATAACAACAACAACAACAACAAATTAATATTAAAGATAAACATGTATAATAATATGATATAATATTAACAACTGTACATTATTTCAAAGTTTGCCAAACCCCATATAGAGATTGGTGGAAACCCTGAGACTGTGGCCCTGGGTTATCCTTCAGGCCTAGAAATGGACTCACTTCGATGGATTGGCTCCCAGCCCAACGGTAGAAAGACCTACATACAGAACACCTACCCCAGGAAGATGCACCCACCCACCCTCGGGATATGCACCCCTTAGATCAATCAACCATAAGACATCAAAGGGGTAGCATTCACATGGAGGGAAAGCTGGACAGACAGGAATGCATAGTTAAGAAAGGAGAGGATGTTAGTTTTGTGTACGTCACTGTACATAAGTTATATTTCAATAAAACGTATTTTTTTATTTTTGAAAAAGGGAGGGGTAGTCACAAGAAGGAGAGGGGAGGAGAGTTTTTTTCTGGTTGAGGTTGAAATGGGGTTGTGAGATCAAATGTGCATGAACTGTTGAATGTAAAACAAATCTGCTTTGTAAATTTGCATCCAAAGCACAATAACATAAGAAAATAAAACTTTGCCAAACACTTTTTTCCTGAAAGTTTTCCCTTTGAGATTTTTTTAAATAAATGTTTATTGCCACACACTTTTGTATACATGACTTCATATGGGCTTCACAAAGATTTTGAGGTGGACACAGCCCCTCCCTCCCGCCTTTGACAAAGTGGAAGAGAAGCTGACTGAATGGGGCCTGCTTTACATGTTCCAGCCTTGTTTTTCTGCCACTCGTTTGTCACTTTGTCCTCCTGTGGTGGTTTGCAGGCTGCTGTGAGCCTAGAGGCTATGCTACAGGTATTTCAAATGTCAGCAGGGATACCCATGGTGGACAGGTTTCAGCGGAGCTTCCAGACTAAGACTGGGAAGAAGGAAAGGGCCATCCACTTCTCAAAGTATTGGCCAGTGAAAACCTTATGAATTAGTAGTGAAACTCTTGTTGTTGTTGTGTGCCGTCGAGTTGGTCCCGACTCATAGTGACCCCTCCTTGGGTTGCCAAG